TAGCAACTACCTTGAATCGTACTTAGCCATCCAATCTTTCTCCTACACTCCTCGACTTTTGGGTGCACTTTTTTATTATTTGTAGTCTTTTGGTGCACTTTTAGAAAGATTGTCTTTTTAAAAAGTGTTTTTAATATATATATATTTTATTTCTAAGAAGGAACTGCACTACCACTATCCATTACTTAGCACTATATAATTGTTATATTTTGAATACATTGTACAAATATTAACAAGTTTCGGTGTCCTATTATGTGACACTGCCCTTCATTATGAAGTACAGAAAATTCAAGTACCAGTATTTGCATAAACAACTAACCAGCTTCACTGAACTTCTAATACGTCTTCATTTCTGTTCTGAATAACCCATCCGTCAGCTTTGCATCAATCATTACAAATCTTTCATACGAAAACATTAAAAAAAATTTATAGCAATAGTTGATATGTGGTTACCTCATGGATAGAACATAACAGCTCTCTACCACTAGTTTAGGACATGCAGTTTAAGACTCACTGAACTAAAACTTTAGGGAAATTTATACAGCCAAGAGGTAATTGCACAGACTGGAAAAGGGCCTGCAGGGTGGGACTACTACATAGTTATCATCAAATTACAAAGTGAACAAAATAAAAAAAGAACATTGTTTGACATCTTCCAGATGTCTTTTTTTACTGCCAGTCTTTCTACTGCATGTACTGTGCTGCAGTCTTACGTGAAACTATCATATGAACATAGGCTGTCATTCAAATGATAAACAATCATTCTAATATTATTGGCATAAGACTCTGTATATTTTCTGGAGAAAAAAATACAAACATCATGTCAGGAAGCTAACATTTAGAATTTGTTCTCCTACCTCAATAGCGTGTGCATAATACATATAAATTATACAGCAAATCAAATTTCCTATCACTGAGAAAAAATTACTTTTGGGTGGCACATCCATGAACAATATGTGGGCAACCCTGGCAGTCTTCCAGCAGAAATGCCATACTGAATAGTATCCTTATAATTATACATATTCTCACTGATAAAAGCATTCTGTGTTGCATGACAAGTGGAGAAGCATTACAAATACAGGTCAAATGTGGCTTATGAACATTGAAGGAAGGAACCAGAGGCTACAGAGAAAATAGGCACACTAACACAACCTCTTAAGCTGGGAGCAGTCCCTCTATGCTCTTTGTATCCTGATATTAACTGGCTGGCAGTGGGGACAGAATTGAGAATGAGTTGCTTTCAGAATACTCCCTTAACAGCCTGGACTCTGATGAGATTGGATTCCTTTGGAACACAATGTTGCTCTTGCAAGACAGTGATCAGTGAAGCAGCCTAACCATGCAGATGTTCCAGTATTAAGGGGATGGGAGGATAGGGTTCCATATGCATCCTGAGACTTGAACCATTCTTCTGCATTTCACCCTTCCACTTCAAAGGGAGAATGCACAAAGATTTTTATACCACCTACCTTTCCCCCTTCCATTCATATTTGTGTAAATGGAAGAATGTTACTTATTTCAGAATGCCAGTTTCTAAACCAGGAGTTGACAAGTGTGAGACATATTAGATATAACAAAAAAGAAAATATGTATCTGTGTTATCTGAAAAGAAGAAAAATCAATAAGGAAATACTATTTATGTTTACCTTACTGCTACATAATGGCCTTCTGTGTGGCTTTGCATGGAAACACAGAAGGCTAATAGACTGTATAATCTATCTCCTAGTAACTGCAGAACTGTTCTATACTCCACATTATAGCAGAGTAGTGTTCTGGCTAGGTCAGTGGTCCCCAACCTTTTAGGGCTGCTGAGCGCCTGGGGACGGAACCTCATACACCGGGCACCTGGGGCCATGGCTGCACACGCGCCCGGGGGCAGGCCCACCCATATGTCACATACCCGGTGCCGGCACCGCCCATGCTCAGCACTCCTGGGGCCGGCACCACTCGTGTGCTGCACGCCCAGGGGCGGGGCCACCCACACGCCCAGGAGCCGGCAGCACCCATGCACCTCGCGCCCAGGGCCAGCACAGCCCATGCACCGCGAGCCTGGGGGCAGGGCCACCCAAGTGCTGCGCACCTGGGGCTTGCACCGACCCTGTGCCGCGTGCCCGGGGGAGGGGCTGGCCCCGATCACTCAGCGGGCGCACAGAAATGGCCCGGTGGGCGCCATGGTGCCCGCGGGCACCGCGTTGGGGACCACTGGGCTAGGTTATTTGTAAAAAGTGTTAAAGAATAGGGCTTCCACCACTTCCTTAAGAAAACTATTCCATAGTCTTGTCTTCCATCCCCACCCCTCCTGACTCCTCTCTTGGTCTATTGGAACTCCACAGCCCCATTTCCAAAAATGGACTCTGTGTAATGTGGACAGCTCTCTGTAATGTCTGAATAAAGAAGAAATAGTGGCTTAACAGCATCGGAGTCACTCTTTAGCATCTGGTAGAGGTAACAGACTTTAAAGGAATCCCTCCACACATTGAACTCGGGGAACAGTTTGGCCCATTACCAATATCTGTATTCCAGTAGAATTCAGATCCCCCTAACTTAAGTGGTGTGACTAGTTTCAGTGAGTTCTTCAGTTGAAGGCCTAATCTGGGTATTTTAGAGGTTCTTTTCTCAAATATAATAAAAGCAAAACTAATAGTTCCAATTTAGTACTGCCTTTCCAGGTGACACAACACAGAAGGAGAAGCCATGGGACAGGAAAGGGTAAATGGTGGTTTTCTGCCATCTTTCAGCTTTCTGGCTGCCCAACTGTTTGAGGTGCTAGAAGATTTTAACCTGCCTATGACAAAGCCCAGAACCCCTATAGCAGTATATATCACATATTCCCACTTCTGATCTGCCCCTGCTTCAGCCCCTCCTCCAATAGGTTTCCTTCACCAGGGCCATTGACCTACTCAGAACTTACTTAAGAAAAACACTCATTGATTTCAAGTGGAATTTTGCCTGAGTAAGGTCTGAGAAGAAACTTTAGGACCATAAATGTGGATCATTTCAGGATTATTACTGTTCCATCGCTTAATATTTTTTCACTAGCACTTTTCCTTCAGCAATAGAGTAACAGGTTGTCTTGTAGCCCTATACAAACGTGTCCCTGGATTGCATTTTTGTAACTAAAAATTCCACACTGAGCATTACTGGGAATAATCTAACACTGCATCTCAAATAACTAAAAATGTTATGTTATTTAAAAGACTATAGTAATGGTGATTTTAATACCCTTAGACACTGTGTAGAGATTTTTACTCTTTGGCAGTGTTCAAGTGTTATATGATACTATATTATTAGAAAACATGATATTTGGACAGGCTTGCCAATTAAGATTTTGTCATGCTTATTTTTAATAAAAGTCACAGACAGGTCACAGGCAATAAACAAAAATTCAAGAGAGCCTATGACCCTATGTGTGACTTTACTAAAAAATAACCATGAAGTAGGGCAGTGTGGAGGGGGAGATAGCTGGAGCCCATGACCGGGGGACTGACAGCCTGAGTTCCATTGGCATGGGGGGTGAGGGGAGAGCGCTGGCGCCAGCCCTGGCTGCAGCCACAGGAAAGGTGGGAGCTCCAGCCTCAGCTGCAGAACTGGGGTACACTGTTCCAGCTCCAACTCCAGTGGCAGGCTCTAGAAAGGACACAAGACATCCCTGAATAGCTCCAGCCCCAACAGACTTAGGGGATGGGCAGTTAATTATATGCTCCTGTGCATTGCTACCCCTCCAAAAAGGTGCCTTCACTGGCAACTTAAAGCACTATTTTAACTAGATCCAGGATAGCAAAAGGCAGTGCAACAACAACCAAATTACTACAAGTAGAGGAAGGGACCCTCTTTCCAATGTAGTGCCCCTCTCTCACCAAAGCTTCACAACGGATCTGGAAATGAGGAAGTTGCTGTTGTCGGAAGTATCAACAATGAACTTTATTGTTCTTTAATTATACCCATCCAGGAAAAAATACAAGCATGCTGGGCCTGATTTCCATAAATTATTGAAGAAAAACTCCCATGACTTCAATGGGAAGTTTGCCTGAGCAAGGAGACCAATATTAGCAGCCCCGTAGTCTAACCTGCATCTGAATATATGAAAAGCAGGTAGCCCACTAAAGGTAACTTATATGGGACTTGTTCTTTAACAAATTATAGATTCTAACAGGTGCACAAGATAGCATGAAATTGTCACAAGCCCAAAAACATTCTAGTTTTGCATTACACCTCTATGGACAGTCTCAAGAAAGAGATGCATATATGGTAAATAGATTCTGGGGCCAGATCATCAATTAGCATAGTTCCATTGCCTGATGTCAACAGACTGAACATCAGTTAACACCAGCTGAAAATCTGGCACTATCTTTATGTACTTATGCATATACAGGTATCTAAAACATTATTATCCAAAGTACTTAATTACCTTGCAAATACTTTTGAGTATGTGAAATCTTGACTTAGTCTTGCAAATACTTTTGAGTATGTGAAATCTTGATACCCAGACTTAGTCAAAGTTCCATATGGCATTCAGATGATAGAGGCTACACTACATAGAATATTGTCTCCTCTACTTTATATATATAGCAGTGTTTGGGTCATTAGACTGTACAGCAACTTGATGCATATGAAAGATGCATTACAAACTTATAAATACCCTCCTGAAGTGGCCCATTTACTGTTGCGGCCCCAAATGCAAGTGAAATATGGTTGGGAACTCCACCAAATGTTCAATCCGTGCTAACTGGAGGGTTGCAATAGATTTTAGGTGAGACAGCAGAAGAAACCCAAGTCCTGTGTAAATCCACTCTCAGATCAACCAGTCACGTCTCGTCCCCGCCGCTCGGGCTGCTGATTAACCCTTTAGTGACACGGTAGTAGCTTTCTGCACGCACTAACAAGCGGCCCCGCAGGATCTTTGTACGCAGCGCACCGACGCCAACAACAGACCCGCAGAGTCACAGCCCCCGAATGGGGGGTGCTGCCCCCTCCCCATTCAACTCCCCTCCTTAACTTACCAGTTTGGATTTGGTGCGCTGCAAGAATTCCTCCATGCTGCTGTCATAAGGCAGCCGAGCGGGCAGGGCAAAGTTCCGCTCACTGAGCCACCGGGCTGGCTTGGCTGGCCGGGGCGGCTCCTTCCAGCTGCTGCTGCTTGGGCTGGCCGGCTGCTGCCCAGCCTGGCAAGCGGGAGTGAGACTCGGGGGTGCCCGGGACTGGACGGGGCGGGGCTGGGGGCGCACTAGCGGGCCTGACTCCTCAGCCAATAGCGCGGGCGTCTCCGGGGGGGTGACGTCGAGCAGGGGAGAGC